CCCACGCACGCGAACACAAACGTTCGTGCCGCCAACCACGTGTGTTATTGGTACTGTCTTTTTGAACTGTTACATGTGTAACGAAATCTTCGCCATCACTTGTTAAATGCAAAAAAGTGGTTATCCATTTAGCTGTCGATTTTCAGAATGGGAAACCGACAATACCAAGGTGCTTTGGCGTTGATCAAGAACTTATGGAAGGAGGTGATCCTCAAGTAGTGTGTCATCATAGTATAGGTGTGCGGATTCCATCCGTAGAGCTTTTGACATACAAAAGTATCAAAAAAGGCAGTTGATATGTGTTGTTGTTTTTACACTGCCTCATATTAATAATAATATTTAGGGAATTTTTGATTATAAGGTGAATACCAAACAGTTATTTAATTGTTTTTTAAAAACCACTAGCAATGGTAAATATACTTTATGAGTATACAATATATGATGTACTTAGCTAATGGAAAAGGGAAGAAATGAAAACGTTCGGCAATTTATGAAAAATAACATCTATGTCCACAAAAATAGAGTCATCAAAAAGATGAAGCTATAACTTTGTGTGACTTGTAGATTTTTAAAAAAAGATAATATAATGCATTCCTCTATTCAATAATATAACAAATTATTTTCCTAAATACATTCCCAGGGGGGAGAGGAGGCAATCGAATAGAATTGAGGAGACGAAACGGGAAAGAAAATGATAATAATCATGATATCATATACACTTGTGTTAAAAATTAAAGGAGGAAAATGTCCGCACGTGTAATAAACGTCTTCACAATCGAGGTCAAAAAAGAATTCCTAAAAAAATGATGAAAAGAAACCGATATTCATACAAAGTATTTCATTTGCCTTTTCAGTCACGTTGAAAGTAATCAAGCTTTATAACTGTAAAGAAAAAAGGAATGAAAGAATATGAAATATTCGTAGAATAAATATATATATATATATTTATTTATTTATTTTATTGGTAAACCAATAGTAAATATGAATCTTCAGTTCTGATAAAACACATAAACTGAATCAATAAAATTCTATAACTACGGTTCAGTAATCATACAAAATATTCTTTCTTTTTAATATGAAAAGTGTATGTATCTTAAAAATATAGATGCTATACTTTTTTGTTCTTGTGTATTGTTTACCTTTCAATAAAGAAAAGGCTTAAGACGCATATAGATGTACACGTGTTTTGTTGCAGAGGTAAAAGAACATTTAACTCTTTGATGTATAGACGATCAATTAATTAAGGAAAAATATATGTCAAAGATAATGAAAGATACACGTGATATTCTGATTATTGTTTTTAGAGAGAGGAGGGGGAGGAAGGGTGGAAAGATTAAAACATAGATGAAATAAATCAGCTTATTCTTTTCATAAATTATACATTATAACGCAACCACAGAACATTACAACTCAATAAATGAAAACACGGTAGAAATATGTTACAATGAAAATTAGTGGAAACGATTCTCTATGAACACAGTATCTCGCAGATAGAGCTGCTTTTATCAATACAACTAAATGAAACAGAAAAATGGACATACTATGCATAAAAGGAAAACAAAAAATTCAAAAAAGCATCACATCATTCCAAGGAACAACCCTCATTTTCATATATGGAGGTAGTTTTGATTGCACACTAAATATTATATATATATATAATATTTTTTTCCTTTGAGACCTTTCAGAGTGTACTCGGGATTGATGTTTTTTGTATAAATGAAAATTTTCGGCTTCTTTCATATGCCTGCAGCTTGAAGTGAATTCATGAGGTCCCTTTCTAATTGTTCCATTATACCTGCCGATGACAATTGCACATTCACAAGGAATGGATGCTGTAGTGCGTCATCGCAAGTTATTCGGCATGATGGCTCGTACTCAAGAGTGCGCCGCAGAAGATTAACTCCATCATCACCCACAGCATCCCTAAAACCTGTTTCTGCTAAAAAAGCATCCAACATTGGATTTGGAAACCATAGCTCGGCAGGGAGCTGGTAGGAATTAACCTTCGGATTCGAAAAAACGCCTGGGAGTTGGGAATGGTCGGTGCCAGAGGTGGCGCCTTTAGAACAACAGCCATTTTTCATGCTCTCTATCAGATGTTTTTTGATAAAATCGAAAAAAAAATCCTGATTACAACTACTATTATGCAAAGAGTTATGACTATCCTTACAGCTCTTGTTATCAACAATATTGGCGGCATGATAAAGTTGCGTTGCTAATGTCGTGAGGCTCTCTAGCCGATTGCGTACCTTCGGGTATGTAAACATGGATGGCCACGACTCATGTGTGGGAGAGCCTAAAAGGAAAAACATCCGAAAAAGCTGTTCCTCTTCATTTCGTCCGGAAAAAAGCACCTTGCCGGTCACGATTTCGAAGAAAATAGCCCCCATCGACCATATGTCTACTGGAAACGAATAAAGCGCAGAGCCCATCATGACATCCGGACTGCGATACCACAACGTTACAACCTCATGGGAGTACTTCTTCACAGGAATATTATTTACACGCGCAAGACCAAAGTCCCCGAGTTTGATACTCAAGCGACGCCCACCACCGCCGCCCGCGGCAGTTCGGTGATCGATCGATGGACCAGCCTTTCCGCCGCCGTCCGCGCGAGTTTGGTCCGTTGGGAGGCTATCCCCGAGCGCCGCGGGTGGGGAGATCCCGGAGGGACCCCCCGTCCTGCTATCCACCCGGACGCCCCCCTCCGCCCCTCCGCGACTGCGTGGGTCCCTCCCGAAGGATCCTCCCCTCTCGCCCTCCCGCCTCCCGTCCCCTTTTCCACCCCCTGGTGGGTCCCGAGGGTGCAAATTCAGAAAGATGTTCTGCGGCTTGAGGTCGCGATGGACGACGCCGCGGCGGTGCAGGTACTGCAGGCCGAGGAACATCTGCCGCAGCCCCGGCCCGACCTCGGTCTGGGGGTCCATCCGGCCCAGGGGCTGGTCCTCCAGGAACTTCTTCAGGTCGCAGTCACAGAGCTCAAAGATGAGGGTGATCTTTGGCTGCTCAAAGAGGACCTCGTACATGCTCACGATGTTGTCGTGTTTGAGCTCCTTGAGAAGGCAGATCTCGCGAATAGCGGTCCCGGGCACCCCTTCGTCGTCGCTGGAGGACATCATCCGTTTGAAGGCAATGATGCGGCCGGTATCGCGCTCCGTCGCCTTGTACACCGCCCCGTAGGTCCCTTCGCCCAGCTTGATGATGTGGCGATAGCGGCCGGCAATGGACATTGCGGTAGAAAAGTGGATCGCTCGCACTCACGCACAAAAGGTAAAAAAAAGGCCTCTTCCCTTATTATCTCAACCACCCAATCGCAACAGCAGAGCTGGACGAATCAATAACTAAATGAAAAGGTCTTCCGTAGTAACACGAAATAGTATGTTTTGGATATATATATATATATATATATATATATATATAGACGACTAATTACTACGTTA